GAGAACTGTTGCCCCATATCAAGGAACGCCTTTCAATGTTATAGGCTTTTCCTTCTCTGCGGTCGCTGCCCTATCTCAGGTCTGAGAAGCACCCATCTCAGTCCCGTGAGGCTTTGTGGTAAGAGTGGCTCAAGGCAGGAGCCCTCTGTTTGCACCCAAAGAAAGCATCCTCGGGGGCAAGACGCAGCCCTAGGCCTTGGAAAGCCCCTGGCCTGGCCAGCTAGATACCCGGACAGCAATAAAACGGGGTGCTGTGATAGGGAAGCACACAGGGGTGAGGGCTCACTTGGCCTGAAGGGTTTTGGAAAGGTGTTACCTGGACACGGAGGTTGAAGAAGGCGTTGGCAGGTGTGCAAGTCAGGGGACTTTATGGCAAATATTGGAGTCCCAAGCTATCATGTCCTTTCCCGGGTCAGCAAAATACCCCCACAAGCAAACAACTCAGTGGGGTTTACCGCTCTGCTCCATCACCCCCATGGAATCCTCTCCTGGTCATTGTAAAAGCCGGTGAGGATTTCGCTTCTCAAATACACATCAGTCAGCTAGTCCTGAGGATGTGGAATATTAATGTGGGGTGAGTGGTCCCAGCTCTCACTGCGTGGGCCAGAGAGGTTGGACGACTGAGCAGGGAAGGAGAGCTAACCGGAATGGCCCAATTTTGCTGATCCCTGATGTCCTGTTTGTCTGAAACTCACTGGGGATCTGAAGTTTAAGGCGGGAAATGTTAGGACGTCCTGAGTGGAATCGAGTTGGCCCAGAGCTCAAACCATGAGAAATCACCCAAAATTTCCCCTGTTTTTGTTTTGTTCTCTTTTTTGTTCATTTGTTTGTTTGTTTTTACCAAACTTGGGCCTCCCTTGTCTACAGTCTGACCCAGGTTTTGAGGGAGAGAGCCCAGCTTGCTTGAAGGCTTGTAAGGGAACCCGAGACCAACCTGTCCGGCCTCCCACCCACTCAAGTTTTCCAGTAAAAATGTGACCAACACTCTTTATAAACTGTTCCCATGACAGGGCAGCCGACCCGCAGCCAGGTGCCCGGCAGATGAACAGGGAATCAGAGCTGGCTAGCGGCAGGGAGGGGCTGGAATAGCACTGTCCACCCTTACCAAACGTCACCTCCCTCTCCCCACCTGACCTACAGCCACCAAGCTGAGAAGTGAGGCATTGGAAGGCTCTAGAAACTCCCTGAGCCACGTCTCCGCGCCATCTCAGAAATGAAAAGAAATGGCTGGCTTCACTTGATTGTGTTCTGAAGGGCTTGCAAAGAAGAGTCAAAATCAGCTGCTTTAAATCACTCTGAGAATGGAATATTCCTTGTCGTACTGCTGTTCCTCTGGTTGGATTAAAGTCAGGCAAAGAGGGGATCTGAAACATTTCTGTACATATCGTGAGGCACACGCGAGGGGGTCCCCGGTCCTCTTCAGCGGGTGGAGGCTGCTTACAGCTTGTTTGCCTTGTCATCAAGCAGGCGCCTTTTGGGGGGCCCCCGCCACAGGGCTTTCCTGGGAGCACGGTGGGGGTCTGGCTTGCAGATCTCTGCCCAGCCCCCGCCACCCAGCAGGAGAGCCAGTCATTTACCTCGGGTTTTCCCTGGGACCCCTCTCTCTCTATTTTCTAAAGACCCCGTCAGGTGAACTTCAACTGGACATTTTAAAAAGAAAGATCCACTGTAATCAAAGCAGGTGGTTTTAGAATACAGTGTCTTGATTAACCCCCATCGGAGAACATACGTTTTTCAAAGTATCAAGAGGCTCTAGAGTGTCAGGGTGAGGGGCAGAGAACCCGGCCCTGCCCGGTCTACCCGCCAGCAAATGCTGGTGCTGATGCCACGGACCGCTCCGTGCCTCGGTCCCCTTCAGCCATCTGTGTTGGAGAGTTCTGGCCTTCTGCCCAGCTCTCCCCGTCCTTGTGCCCGTGGCCCTGGTGTCCACAGGTCGGGCCGGGCTGGTCTTACCGTCAGCACTTCTGGGAGTCAGAGTCACCACTCCCAGGAAGCAGCGATGAGCTAGCTGGCTCCTTCTCGGGTCTGAGGCATCTATCCCAGCCCAGGCCCTCCCTGAGTCTTCATTTCCATGACTAATATTTTCCAGGGTTGACCCTGAACTACACACTAGGGTCGCTTCTCAAGACAAAACAATAGCAACACACTCCGGCTTGGGTGGCTGGAAGTTAGGTCACCATCCGGGGCTATCTGTGGGTTGGGAAGACAAACACTGGTGCCCCCGCCCATCCACCCCTGCCCCCATGAAGGGATTACAGTCTGCAAACCTGAACACAATGCCATTCTGTATCCATCGCCTGCTCTGGGGGACAAAGAATCACTTTCAAGATGGGGTCAGCCAAAGGAAAACTAGACAACTTGCCCCTTGACCCACGGGGCAAAGGGCAGGTCGGGCGCTTCTCCAGTGGGGGGTAGGATGGTAAGCAGCCAAGGCAGGACTCGGTCTGGTCTGCTGGGTGGAGGACGCCAGGCCAGGGATGCACAGGCCCCTACAGGCAGCGCCCACAAGGCCTGACTCCTGCGTCCCCCTCTGCTTGGAAGGCCCTTCTCCCCTCATCTCTCTCCTCCTCTTCCTCCTTAGGACAGAGCCTGAAGTCAGAGTCAGAGTCTCCCACTCTCTAGCAGTACACAGATTCCTTTATTTCTTGCTCTGCTGATCTCCACAGAAAGATTCTCTCTCTTGTTCCGGAACATTCCTTTTCAGCATATTCTGTTCTTGTTTTATAAATGTAGTATCTCCACCCATCTCACTAAGGGTCTTCATCAGCAGTCTCTGGGATTCCTGTTGTTTTATCTCTTGCCTTTTCCCTTAATTCTCTGTCACTCAGGGATTCTCCTCTGTTTGCTTTGGTCCTGATGCTCTGGAGCGGACCAGGCCCTATGGCGGGGGAAGGCCTGAGTGGTGGGTTTCAGGCGGGAGCCACCAGTGGACAGCGGCTCCCAGGTGTCAGAATATGGAAAGCTGGTCTTTAGGGAAGAATTCTGGGGGGACAGTGGGGGACAGAGGCCGAACCACTTGGGATTCTCAGTGAGTGTAGGGTTGGCTGTTCTGAAAACCGGATTTGAATTTATCTTGGGGAGACCCGTGCTCAAATCTGCTTCTACCAGGTACAGCTTGGGCAAGTCTCTAAAGCTTCTGATGCCTCTATGTTCTGGTTTGAAGGAGATAATTCTGGTTACTTTTTTACGGACCCTGCTCCCTCCAGTCTGTGTAACAACCACCTTACCCAGGCCCTGCAGCTGTGATGTGTACTGCTCATCTGATCACTGCCAAGTTAAGGGGCGTTCCGCCAGGTCTGCAGGACCAAGGGCCCGGGGCATCCAGGCCCGTGTGCCGCTCATGGACAATGCCATGTTCTTCCTTCCTCCATCCTTTGTCTGCTGCACAAATCCCCCCAGCGCTTCCTCAAGGACAGACCATGTGTGGTTCCTCCTAATTGCAATTTACCTCATTTGCATGTGGCTTTTTCATTATAATTCCCTGAACCCAAGCAGCCATGTTGCTAGGGCAACAGAGAGCACACTTTCCAGCCTGCTCACTGCTGTCTGGGGGACCCCTGACACAGCATGGTCCGGCTCCAGCTGTGCCCCCCGCTCCCCCTTCCCCCCCGCCCCGCCCCGAGAAGGCACGGTCTGCAGAAGCCTCCTGCCTGTTTTGTCTGTCTCTCCACAGGGGCTCCATGACCTTTATGCGTGCCCAGACTCTCGCGTCCCCTCCCCAGCCTGGAGCCTGCATCCCTCCCCCACACAGCGAGCCCCATTCCCATCGGTGCCAGCTGGGCTCGCCTCGGGGGGTCTCGTGATGCCCAATGAGATGATGTGCGTGAAGCACAGAGCCTGTGGAATCCTGGGGACTCGTGATGACAGTTACCTGCTCCAGCGGGTCTCAGTGCCACACCGGGAACTCAACCCACGTGTGTTGTCTCACCAAGCTCTGTGCCCCCCCCTTCCTGCATGGGCCCCCCAGCCCCTCCATCTCCTCTCGCTCCAGCTACCAGGCACCTGCCTCTGTGCCCGGATGGCAAATGCTTCCTCCCCTTAAAACAGCGTTTAAATTAGAACTCAGGTGAATCTAATTGAACTACGGCTTAATTACAGCCCTTGGTTCCCAGCACGCTCTGCCGAGGGAACCAGTGAATGCATGAATGAGTGAGCCTCCACTCTGTTCCCACCCCTACAATCTACTTCAGAGATGTGAATTTTGGGGCCACTTCACAGTTTAATTGGGATAATTGGTGACGAAGGGCGAGGGCCAGATGCAGTGAACCAGCCCATAGAGAACCTCGAGCCACTTTGAGCCATGACTTCCACACTTTTCCCTACAGCTATTAAGCGGACCAAAAGGCCGAACTTGCCCCGCAGAGCCCCCCCGAGGAAGTATAACTGTGCTGTGAGATTCACGGAGGGAGGACAAGGTGGGCGGGGGAGTCCTCTATGAGGGAGTAGTGTGAGGTCAGGTGCCTAAACTAGCTAACTCTTACCCAGCTAGACTAGTTAGCGGTGGCCCGCCTGACCAGGGCATGTGGCCGGCCCCAGGATCGTCCTCATTTCTGACAGAGGAGCGATGGGAGGGGCGACCGGGCGAGAAAAGCCCAACAACAACTCTCCACATGACAGACTGAGTATAAAAGGTCGCATTTCTAGAAGCTGAGCTCATTAACACTTTTATGGGGGCTGGGGGCGGGGGAGGGCGTGTTAAGTGACAAAGAAAGGAAAAAAAGAGAGAAATTCTGCCTTTTAATTCCAGCTCAGCATCTGACCAGCTTTGTGACCTTGGCCAAGTCATTCATGTGCCCTACGATGTCATTTTCTCACCCTTGCCCAGGATCTGGTAGGTTCTCTGTAGAAATTGTGGCCGAGGGGCGCCTGGGTGGCTCAGTCGTTAGGCGTCTGCCTTCGGCTCGGGTCATGATCCCGGGGTCCTGGGATCGAGCCCCCACCGGGCTCCCCGCTCGGTGGGAAGCCTGCTTCTCCCTCTCCCACTCCCCCTGCTTGTGTTTCCTCTCTGGCTGGGTCTCTGTCAAATAAATGGATAAAACCTTTAAAAAAAAGAAAGAAAGAAATTGTGGCCGAGACCCACACCCATTGTTCGGGTGGGGAGAGCGTATGACAAATTACAGGGGCCGTGACTGCTCGTGAGGGCGGCCAGCTCGCAGGTAGGACTTGGCGCAGGACTAGGTACTGCTCACCGAGCAACCACAGCGCGGGGCGTGCGTGAGTGCTCCCACGTCCGCCACCAGGAAATAGGGAGCTGAGAGGACGTGTCCAGACCCAACTGCTGTCAGGTAAGAGGCTGCAAGTCTCTGGGTTTTTCCAGTGGTAGGTTGCTTGCTTGGAGCCATTTTCAAAGGCCATACCCGTATCTCCCTGAAGAGATGTGATGTTTTCTGCTGGATATGCCTCTAACAGCTATAGTAGCATCGCCAAAAAGAGAGAAAGAGAGAGAGAGAGAAGAAAGGATTCTTTTTAAGGGTGCAGGGTGTGCTGGTGGGGGCCCCAGAGAGGCTCTTCTGCCGGAGTGAGGGCCGCCACAAGTCATGCTATTTTTATTTGTTTTTGTTTTTGTGTTTCTACTAAGTGTATTCCTCCTGCCAGAAAGCATGATCGCTGAGCTTGAAGCAGCCACAAATCTGTCTTGCCGAAGTGAGTTAGTTTACCTTTAAGTCTGTCCAGAGCGGTTCCCAGTGATTTCCAGGTTGACTCCAGCGAGGAGACAGGCGCGGAGAGCCATCCCCACCGGGGCCCCGCCCCAGTCACTCGGATCACAAGCATCCTGGGTTTCTAGAAACCTTTTACAGACGTGAACATGCCTTACCGCGGCGTTTCCATTGATTTGTTGTGTCCCGTTTCGTTAGAGGTTTGGGAGTTTGTTTTGCTTCACACAGTCCCCGAAAAGGAATCCAGGGCGAGACCTACCCAGCAGATAAGCGTCGCCGCGGAGGCCGCTCCCTTGCCACGAAATGTGTGTGGCCCGGGCCCTTGCAGATAAGCCAGCCGTGCCAGGGGAGCTCGGGCTGGAAACACACAGCGCAGACCTGGCCTCGCCCCCGTCCTGCCGGCGAGCCCCGGGGCTCTGCAAGAAGGGCGCAGACTTTGCAAATGTTACATCTCAATATCGTCAGTAATTGCTTTCAGTGCCATCAGAGGCTGTTTGCTGTTTTGTTTCTTTCGCCCCTGTTTATGCCTCCGCTCTAGATCCAGGGGCGTGGGCTGCGCTCAGAACAGTAACCGCGCCGATGCTTCTTGAAAAAGAAACCCACTTCACATTTGGCACACGAGCTCCTCAACCCTGGTACTCTCCAGGCTTCTTTCCCTGGCGTCCACGCCCGCCTCCCTCGACTGACTTTCAAGAGGGGTGGGCGTGCCACACAAGAGCTATTTCTCGCACACATGTTCCATCCTGGAGCCTGGCAGGCTTTGCCAAAGATGACTCAGGTAAACATGTTATCAAGCCGAGCTGCCAGGAGCCCTGCGATGATCCGGCCAGTACGATCACGCCGGGCAGCCCCCTCTACGCACCTGCGCAGCTCCCAGAAATTCCCTGGCCTGTCTGCACTAGAATTGGGAGGTGGGAGAGAAGAGCAGCTGTTGGTTTCCCCCCCCCCCGACCCCCCACACCCACAGCCCGGGAGGAGGACGAGGAGAGTGTGAACGGAACACAGAGGGAGAGGAGGAGAGCCGCTGAGCATGAGGAAAGACTGGGGGTGCCAAGTTCTCGGCCGGGGGCTGGGAGGACGGCCAGGAACAACACAGATGTGCCCACGCCTTTGAGGAGCTCGTGGTCTAAAAGAGGCAACACAGATACATTACAAGATGACATAAATAACAAGAAGACTCATGATGCCATCGCAATGTACGGCAAGTTCTAGAAAGAAAAAAAGAAGGAAACGAGAGGAGATGATGAAAGGCTATAAAGGGGAACTGATGTGCATTGGGAGAGGGGTCAAAATGGACAGTTTGCAAAGGAATGTTTGAAAGGGAGTCCTGGGGGAGTGGAGCGAGCCAGGCGACGAGGGCCCGGACGAGCATGCTGACTGAGGGAACAGCGCAAAGGACTCCACTGTGGGAAGGAGTTTGGGCCGTCTGAGGAGCGGAAAGGAGGCTGATGGACCCAGAGTACCGAGAACATATATACTAACGTTGGAATGACACACATGGAACGTGGCAAGGGTGACCTGCAGATCTGTGAAGCATTTTGCATTTTTGTAATCCAGGAGACAATAGAATAACATCTTTAAATTGCTGAAAGGGGAAAAAAAACACCCTGCCAATCTTTTTGTAGAAGATATTTTTTTCAGAAATGAAGGCCAAAGCAAAAATGTCTTCAAAAGCTAAGAGAATTAGTTACCAGGAAGTCAATACACAAGAAATCCCATGAAGTCCTTCATGCTGAAGGAAAGTGACCCCAGATGGAAGCACCAACCTACAGAAAGGAATGAAGAATAGGGTCAATATAGAGTAATATTAACTATCTAGAGCAATAATAAGTGACCAAATGCTAAAATGCATGATATCTATGGCACCAGGAAAGGGATAAATGGAATCATGGAATATGTACCAAAATAGACCATATGCTGGGCCCTAGAGCAAGTCTCAACAGATTTCAAAGGGCTGAAATCACACATTTCATTCTCTGTGCATTCTCTGACCACAGTGCAATTAAACAAGAAATTAATAACAGAAAGATAATTGTTGAATCCCCAAGTGTTTGGAAATTAAGCAACACACTTCTGAATAACTCACAGGCCAGAGGAAACATCACAATGGAAGTTAGCAAATACTTTGAACTGAATGATAATGAAAATAAACGTATTGAAACTTGTGAGAAGCCACTGAGGAAGTGCCCAAGTGAGAATTTTTAGTTTTAAATGCATGAGCTAGAAAATAAGGGGGTTGAAAGTCAGTGATCTAAGCTTCTGTCTCAGGGAAGTAGAAAAACCCAGTAAATTAAATCTAAAGAAAATGGAAGGACAGTAGTAATCAAGAGAAGAGTTGACATCAGTGAACTAGGTAGGAGAAGTACAACAGGAAAAACAGCAAAACCAAACTAGGTGTTTGAAAAGATTAACAAAATTGATAGTCCCGTCAAGACTGATCACGGAGAAAAACCAGAAAACATAGCCCCAGATTTTTTTCACATCGATATTGGAAATAATAGAAGGCCATCAGTACAGAGCCTGATACATTTTAAATGGGATAACAGGATATTATGAAGAACTTTATGCTGATAAAAAGGACACCCTCAAAGAAATGGACACATTCTCTAAAAACCACAATTTAGCAAAACTAATACAAGAAGAAATGGAAAATCCTAAGCATCCTATACTTACAGTTTAAAATAACCAAATCTGAAATGAAAAACCTTCTCACAAAGGAAACTCCAGACTCAGATGGCTCCATGAGTCATTTTCCAAACACTTAAGGAAAAAATAATACCAGTCTTACACAAAGTCTTGCAGAGAAAAAGAAAAAAGAACACCTCCCAACTAATTTTCTAAGGCTGGCAAAACCCTGGTATTAAAAATTGACAAGGACATTACAATAAAAGAAATTTACAGCCTTATAGCTCTCATGAATATAGACGAAAACCCTACATAAAACATTAGTAAATCAAATCTAGAGATACATTAAAAGGATAATACTTCTTGACCAAATAGTTTATTCGAGAAGTGCAAGGTTGGTTTAACACTTGAAAATCAATCAGTGTAATTTGTAATAGTAACAGAATAAAGGATAAAAAAGTATGATCATGCCCATTGATGCAGGAGAACATCTGATGTATGTATTCATGATATAAACTGTCCATCAATTAATAATAAAAAGAAATGTCCTTGTTCTGATAAAGAGCATTTTTAAAAACTCTATGGTTAATGTAAATGAAACTACTAAGCACTTTCCTCTTGCCCACTATCACCATTTCTGTTCAACACGGTACTGGAAGTCCTAGCCAGTCCAAAAAGGCAAGAAAAGGAAAGAGATATAAAGATTAGGAAGGAAGAAAGTAAAACTGTTTTTATTTTCAGAAGGTATAATTACATACTAGAAAATCCAAAAGAATCTGTAAACTACTAGAATCAATAAATGAATTTAGCGGCATCACTGGATAAAATGTCAATATATGAAATTTAGCTTATTTCTACATACTAGCCAATGACTAGACAATGAAATTAAAAACAACTTACAGTAGCATAAAAATATAGAATGCTTAGGAATGAATCTTTTGAAAGATGTGCAAAATTCACGCTGAAAACTACAAAACATTTCTAAAGAGAGATTAAGGAAGGACCTAAATGAATGGTGAGATATACCACATTCATGGACTGAGAAGTACAGTATTGTTATGATGTCCAGTCTCCCAAAGTGATCTACAGATTCAATGTAATTTCAATCAAAATCCCAGCCGTGTTTTTGTAATGGATATTGACAAACTGATTTATATGGAATTGCACAAAACCTAGAATAATTGGGACAACGTTGAAGAGGAAGAACAAAGTTGGAAGACTTACCCTAGTAGAGATCAAGATCTACTAGAAAGTAACCAAAATTAAGTGGTGGCAATTAAACAGTGGGATTTTGCTGTTAGAATAGACATAGACCCATGGGATCAGATTCAGAGTTTAGAAACAGACTCACACATTTACGTCCACTTACTTTACAATAAAGGTACTTAAGCAAGACAACGGAGGAAAGGTTGTTCTTATCAATAAATGATGCTGAACTGGATATGCATGCAGAAAAGAGCAGATCCTGACCCCTACCTTGTAGCATGCACATTAATTACCTTGTAGCATGAACATTAATTCAAGATGAACTATATTCCTAATGAGAAGGGTAAAACAATAAAGCTCCCAGAAGGAAACATAGGAGAATATCAACATGGCTTTCAGATAAGCACAGATCTCTTGAATGACATAAAAGCCATTAATCATAAAACAGCTGGTTTATAAATGGGGCCTCATGGAAATTAACAATTTCAAGTTAACAAATTAGCAATTAACAAATTCATTAAGAGAAAGCAGTAAGTGAGTGAGAACACAACCTGTAGGCTGGGAGATATATTCAGAGGATTCATAACCAGGATATATAAGGAAATTTTACGAATCAATAAGAAAAAGACCAGCAACTTGATCAAAGCTGGACAGAAGACTTGAGGAGCTCTCTCACTCAGAATTTTCAAAGGACCAGAAAGCATAATTGACGGGGCTCAGCCTCATTAGCCATCACACACACAAAAATTCAAGTTAAAACCACAATGAGATATGAATTGGTTAAGAAAGTACTTGAAGTCATATGGCCAACCAGAAAGGCTAAAATGAAAGTGTCAGCAATTCTAGTGTTGGCGAGGCTATGGAATGAGTGAGCCTCCCATGAGATAATGTAAATTTTACACCCATCAGAAATGGGTGCCTGCAATCCACTAAAAGACACAGACGAGGTAGTACATGGCAACTTTGTGATAAATAAATCGTAGTTCATTCACACAGTGGAATACTACACAGTGATCAAGAAGAATGTCTGAGGGGCGCCTGGGTGGCTCAGATGGTTAAGCGTCTGCCTTCAGCTCAGGTCATGGTCCCAGGGTCCTGGGATCGAGTCCCGCATCAGGCTCCCTGCTGCTTGGGAGCCTGCTTCTCCCTCTGCCTCTCTCTCTCTCTCTCTCTCTCTCTCTCTCTGCCTCTCATGAATAAATAAATAAAATCTTTAAAAAAAAAGAAGAATGTCTGAGACATAATATTGAACCAAAAAAGCCAGATACAGAAGAGTACATCCTACATAATTCCATTTACATCAAGTCCAAGGCTAAGCAGAATTATGGCAGGAGTTAGGATAGTGTTCACCGCTGGGTGCTGGGCCATGGGAGCTTTCTGGATCCTGGAAATGTTCT